TATATATATATATATATATATAAGAAAGTTTGATTTAAGTCACAACTTTAGTTTACAGTATATCTCAGATAAAGGAGAGACAGAAAAACAATGGAAAAAAAGAAGCATAGTATCACCTTTAATTTCTATTCTCCAACCTTTAAAGACAGACTGGTTTATTCGCCAGCTGTGAATAAACAAATATCTTTCAAGCCTTCAGACAGACGACATTCTCTCAAGCAATTCAATATCCTGTCACTTGTGTGGGTGTTGACCTGATCTGCCCATGCTGGATTGGCCAATATGATGGGATGTTTTTTCTGATTGTGACTGGTTGTTGGTCAGAAGGGTTAATGAGCCTTTTGAGTGAAGGCAGCTATTGTAGGAGGTGTTTAATTGACCAGGGTGGCTAGGTGACAAGATACAGCCTCCATTTTGTTTCAAGTGTCAAACTGAGTGTGTTAGATTCTATTCCAAGCTTCTTCTTTTTTTGAGTTTGTGAATGAACACATGTCATTGAGAAAAGCTAATGAATATGCACTGATTAAAGAACAATTAGTTCCATCTTTAAAATGTTAAGAGTGATGTACTATGATATTCTTGGCATGTTTGTTGATTTTAACTCTGAGGTCATAGTTGCAAATGTCAAATAGATGATTGTTTACTTTTTCAGTAGTGAAATATTATGAGCCGCAGCAGCCATATTCTCTTCATATGTATTCATGGGTCCAGGGTCATACAACCTTGCCCTGGTTTGCAGATGTATCCATAATTATTGTGCATTCTATGGAGTTGCAAAGAAGAGGATTTCCATAAATCAGCCGAAAGCGAAGTAAGGTCAGCCTGGACCGAGCAGCAAGCTGCAGCCGATTTCAGCTGATTTCTCTGTTAAAGTCTCATTAGAGAAGAAAAAGAAACATAACAAGGACACGCTGAAGTAGCTTATGTTTTGGTGCATCCCTCGCTTCTGCTCTGAGTACCAATACAACACATGGCTCATCACTTAACTAAACATGTGCTCAGGATCTTCTTGCTTTATCTCAGCCGTGCCAGAGCCCTCTGGAGAGCAGGACTTGAAATATTTGATTATTTGTTGCCAGGTTCTCACACAGTATTTATTCACGTCAGTATAGAGTTTTACAAGAGGTGCACTGAGACATAAACATTGCTTCCATACATAGGAAGGTCCTTTTAACTAAATAAAAACCTTAGGGGCCTGATTTTATATGTATATATTCTTATACAACAGTTGGTATCACTGAGTGTAAAAAATGACTAAATCAGCTGCACATCAATATGATACACTATCTTGATTATATCTCCTATTTGTTTACATTTAACGGTTTGCCGGCCATAGATCCAAACTGCTGCTTTGTGGATAAAATGATGTGTTTTGTTAAAGCAGCCTTCAGACCTTCAGACTGGGAGTTCATATTCAAAGAGAAGACATTAAAATATCAGTAAAAACATGCAAATAGCTGCTCATCAGTTTTAAGTAGTTGATTCCTCTAAAGCAGACTTAACTGATTTTTAAGGCAAGATTTTTCTACTTTTATGTTTATGAAAGATTAATTAAGGCAGGCTATTGTTTTACACTGTTTTTATAATTGATTTTTGTTATTTATTTACAACTTTAAACATGAACACACAGTTTCACATCACTTATTTCCATCACATTTGAACTTTGGCTTTCTATCAATAACAGAGGCAAAAGTACATTAAACTAAACTAATAAAATAAATAAACAAAATATGTATAGACACATACATACAAACATATAAAAAGGGAAAATGTGTTACTATAGCAAATCTTAATTTTCCTAAATATACCTCAGCACAAATTTTCTAATTAATAATCTCACTCAGTACATCTGTTCCTGTGTCAAAATTGTCCTCCTCATTTTTAATTCTGGCCAATAATTTTTCATATGAAAAAAATTTTTTTTCTTCTTGTTTGTTCTCCGCCTGTTATATAGTCTTAAGAGGAGGATCTTTCCACACCAAGATTCACTTGAGCAGCTCTAATTACCCCGAGTTATATAACCATAAAACTTGTGCTTTGATACCCTTAGTATTATAGATTGACCCCTGGTATGGCACAGGTGAAAATGGAGAAAAGAAGGAGCATTTCAAAGGAAAAGTCCGGTCAGCAAGGAATAACCAATGGGTCATTATTTATACTTAAAACTAGTATGTTTGCGATGATTTAATGAATTTAGCTTTGATCAGTCAAAAAATAAAAACAATATTTTTCGTTACGATCACTGAGTCTGGGAACGGTCATTTTTGCCCAAATATTGTAACACCTCACTCCTGACATCTTCCAGCCGTGATGTCAGAATTTGTTATTTCACCTTTCTGATTCATGATCCTCCATGGACGGGTTTGTCTTGGGTTGCCAACTTGAAGAGGGAGGATTTGCCATCGAACTTCTGGCCAGAGAAAAAAACAAGTCATTAATTCATTACTCTCTGCTTCGAATAGTGCACTGGTTATCATCATCATCACGGATAATAGCACGTCATTACAAACCTCAGATACAGCACTGGGACTTGATTAACAGCCGATACCGTGACGTCACAAACCGGTAGGTGGCAGTAGTGTTCTTTGACAAACATTGATGTCTCCAGTAAAGCACATTCAAATGAAATTACTCTTAATTAAAAACACTTATAATTTCTTGAAAAGTATATAATAAATTCCTGCTTAAAGTACTTAAAAGTTTATATTCTGAATGTGACCGGACTCTTCCTATATGGCTCTGTAATGTGGGCAGCACTTAAGAATTTAAGCATTTTATATCTTAGCAATCAGTTTCATTATCATGTTCATATATGCTCTCGAGATCTGAAGTAAAAATCAATAAATAAATGGTTGGAATAAAGACCATGAACTAGAAATGTGTCCCATTGAAAAAAACAATAAAATATTCTTCTTATTGCTGCTCCAAAATTACAAAAGTTCTGCATAAAATAGGTACCTATTAATCCTTATCACAGAATAATATCCCTATATATATTTAAAGCTTAGAAATAGATGCTTTTTATATAATGCCCTGGTGACTCTCTACTGTTTGGTGCCGTTTTTCAATAGTGGACCCTGGTCATTTATTTTCCAACTTTTTGTTTTTCAAACATTTACAAGCTGATGCAGATTCATTTTTTATAAATCTAATCAGCGGTTTTCAAAAATTTTTATTTATGTCCTTCCTGCCACAAGCAGTCATATGTTGCTTTCCTTGGAGGAATAAACTATGACAAACCGATAAATTAAATATAACCGCATCTTTGCTGTCATTTGTTTTATTGTCCTGCTTAAGTTCCTTCCTGTTCTATTCCCTCCTTTGCCGAATTAAAGAAATGTTGCCAAGTTAAGCATGTTATTTCATACACTTTTGTGTGGCCATTTCTTCTTTAATATTTTTGTTGCTGTAACATTCGAATTTCCTCATTGTGGGACAATAAAGGGTTTTTTTCTATTCTATTCTGTTCTATTCTATTCTATAATTTGAAGGCTAGTGCGAAACAGCTATTTTTTCTTAACACAAATAAGTAGAATGAAAAAGTTTGAAACAGTGAACAAAGTGAAATTACCATTTCTGCCAGATTCTATTGTGGCAGCCAACATGCCT